ATTAAAAAGACAGGAAAGGAAGAAAAGACCAAAATGGATGTCAGAAGAGACTCTGAAACTTGCTCTTGAACAGAGAGTAGCTAAAGCAAATGGAAATAATGAGAAGATAAAAGAGCTGAACAGAAGATTTCAAAAAGCAGCTCAAGGAGACAAAGTCAATTATTATAATGAAATGTGCAACCACTTGGAGTTAGAAAACCAAAAGGGAAGAACATGCTAGGCATTTTTCAAGTTGAAACAACTGAAGGAAAAATTCAAACCTCGAGTTGCAATATTGAAAAATTCTATGGGTAAAATATTGAATGATTCAGGAAGCATCAAAAGAAGAGGGAAGGAATACACAGGGTCACTATACCAAAATATTGATGTTCATCAATTTCAGGAGGTGGCATATGATCAAGAACCAATGGTATGGAAGCAAGAAGTCCAAGCTGCACTGAAGGAATTGGTGAAGAACAAGGCTCCAGGAATTGAAGGAATACCCATTGAGATGTTTGGCTGGAGACACTCTATGCCAAGAAATTTGGAAGACAGCTACCTGTCCAACTGACTGGAAGAGATGCATATTTGTACGCATTCCAAAGAAAGGTTAAAAAGACAGGAAAGGAAGAAAAGACCAAAATGCATTAAACACTGTGCCACTGGGGCACCATTATAGAACAATATCATTAATATCACATGCAAGTAAAATTTTGCTGAAGGTAATTTAAAAATGGTTGGAGCAGTATATTGACAGAGAACTTCCAGAAAGGGAAGCTGGATTCAGAAGAGGCAATGGAACAAGGGATATCATTGCTGATGTCAGATGGATCTTGGCTGAAAGCAAAGAATACCAAAAATATGTCTGTGTTTTATTGATTATGCAAAAGCATTTGATTTTGTGGCTTATAACAGATTATGGGTAACATTGAGAAAAATGAGAATCCCAGAACACTTAGTTGTGCTCACGAGGAACCTGCACACAAACCAGGAGGCTGTCATTCAAACAGAACAAAGGGATATTGCGTGGTTTAAAATAAGGAAGGGAGTGCATCAAGATTGCATCCTTTCACCATATTTATTCAATCTTTATGTGGAGCAAATAATCCAAGAAGCCGGACTCTATGAAGAAGAGCATGGCATCAGGATTGGAGGAAGATTCATTAACAACCTGTGATATGCAGACAACACAACTTTGCTTGCTGAAAGTGAAGGTGACTTGAAGTATTTACTGATGAAGATTAAAGACTTCAATCTGCAGTATGGATTATATCTCAACATAAAGGAAATGATAATCCTCACAACTGGACCAATAAGCAGCATCATGATAAATGGAGAAAAGATTGAAGTTGTCAAATATTTCATATTACTTGGTTCCACAATCAACACCAATGGAAGTAGCAGTCAAGACATCAGATGACATATTGCACTGGGCAAATCTGCTGCAAAAGACCTTTGCAAGTGCTGAAGAGGAAAGATGCCTCTTTGAAGACTAGGGTGCACCTAACCCAAGCCATGGTATTTTCAATCACCTTATATGCATGTGAGAAGTGGACAATGAATAAAGAGGACACAAGAGGAATTGATGCTTTTGAGTTGTAGTGTTGGCAAAGAATACTGAAAGTACCACGGACTGTCAAAAGAATAGACAAATCTGTCCTGGAAGAAGTGCGGCCGGAATGCTCCTTGGAAGTGAGAATGGCCAGACTATGTCTGACTTACTAGGGTCATATTGTCAGCAGGGACCATTCCCTGGAGAAGGATGTCATGGTTGGTAATGTTGTTGTTGTTGTTGTTGTGTTTGCCCTCAAGTCGGATCCAACTCATAGCGACCCCTCCTTGGGATCCCGAGGCGTTATCCCTGAGGAAGTAGATCACCCAACCTTTCTTCTGAGTAGTAGCTGGTAGGTTTGAACCACCAGCCTCCTGGTTAGCAGTCAAATGCTTTAGACACTATGCCACCAAAGCTCCCCTCAATGAGAGGGACTGACACAGTGGCTGCAATGATGGGCTCAGGAATAGCAAGGATTGTGAGGTTGGCAAAGTGTTTTATTCTGTTGTACATAAGGTTGCTATGAGTTAGAGCTGACTTGATGGCCCTAAGAACATCAACTACTATAGAATGAGAGCTGTAGGGGATGATGGTTGAAACTTTGCCTCAAATCAGTGAAGGAACAGCAGCCTATTCTATCACTCCGAAGTTCTCTAATGTTTTTTTGTTACCTTGTTTTCCACCTGTTTTTGCTCACCTGGATCCATGTCTAATTCAAACCAAACCCACACGCATTAAGTCAATTCAGATTTAGTGACCATACAGGACAGAGTAGAAAGACCCCATTGGGCTTCCAAGGTTGTAAATCTTCCTGAAAGAATACTGCCTCATCTTTCTCCCACAGAGTGGCTGGTAGGACCAAATCAATGCCCTTTTGGTTAGGAGCCAAATGCTTTACCCACTGTGTCATCAGGGTACCATTAAGATCCAATGCCTTTCCTTCATGACAATCCTCTCTTTTCTCTTTGGCAATTCATTTACCTACATAATCACACTTAAAGTTACTCAAATTGATGATGTCATTTTATATACCTGTACCTTAGGACATTTTATTCAAAGTGTGGTTTGTGAAACTGCAGTATTGGCATCCCCTGACAGCTTGTTAAAAATGCAGAGTCTTAGGTCCCTTCCTAGTGAATCAGGAATTACATTTGGTAAGATCAATAGGAACTCTGGTGGCATATTGGCTAAGGCATTTGGTTGTTAACCAGGAGGTTGGTGGTTCAAACCCACCAGCTGCTCCACGGGAGGAAGATAAGTCAATCTACTTCAGTAAAGATTTGCAGCCTTGGAAACCCAATGGGGGTCACTATGAGTCAAAATGGACTTGATGAAAGTGGGTTTGACTTTTTTGTTTGTTTGCTTTATAGGTGATTCATATGCATATTAAAATTTGAGAAGCATTGTGTTAGCAAATACTCTTTCTTCTTTCTTTAATACCCTTTTTCTTCCAGTTACATTCTTAGTATGCTCCTATTCATCTCTCAAAACCCAACCCAGAATGTCATCTTCTATTGGAAATCTTTCCTAATTCTTCCTGATGGAGATTTCTCAGATTTCTTCTATGCTCCTTATATACATCTTTCTATTTTTACTCAGATGTTAAATATATTTATTTCTTATCTGTGACTTCTGTGAGGGAAGGCATTTGAGTCTTAATCATCTTGTGACTTCTGTATCCCCAGCACTTAGGAAAGAACATGACACATAAAAGGTGTTCAACATATGTTCTAGAAAGGCAGTGGGATGGTAATTAATCATTGTTATTTGTAAAGCTATTTTAAAACAGGATTAAGAATTTTTTCTTCTACAAATGTCCATTATATGACATAAAACTTTGCTCCTATTCCTACCCTTTCCTTCCTCAGGTGCACTTGGTGGTATAAGGACATGGAAATGGCATGGCAACTCAGGACAACAAAACTTAGCTTTAGAAGTCTGTATAGAATAGGAAATTCTATTATTTGTTACTGAAACTTCATTCCCACCAGCTTGTTAATTTTAAAGCAATGGGTATTAACCTAGCAGGCAAGGATAATGTTGATTGAATGAATGGATAAATGGATGCTATTGTAATAGATACTTTAGGGAATTTAGAAAAAAAATGTAGTCATATACCATGCCTCCAAATTGCTTACAATTGATGAAGAGTTCATAAAGATTGCCATTAGGGTCTCATCCTGGGGAAGCATACTGAAAAAACAAATGCATTGCTGTTGAGTTGAATTCTGACTTATAGTGACCCTATAGGAAAGAAGAACTTCCCCATAGGGTTTCCAAGGATATAATCTTTACACAAGCAGAGTGCCTTATTTTTCTCCCATAGAGTGGCTGGTGTGTTTGAACCACTGACCTTTAGATGAATACCTGATCATTTACCCACTGTGCCACCACAGCTCCTTGGCAAAGAATAATAAATACCTTAATTATTTCTCTAGATAATAAAGAAACTTACCTGGTATGAGTAACTATGTCTGTCAAGGCACCGCCCTCTAAAAATTCCATGACTACCCAGAGTTCATCACTGACAAGGTAGCTGTTGTACATATCAACCACATTGTCATGGTGGTAATCCCGCATTATTACAACCTGGACAAAAGGGAAAGATAGTTTTTAATTTATGAAGGTAAAATGTGGCATTTTTTAATATCATTTTTTATGGACATACTTGCACTGTTAGTACAATTGATTGGGAAGTATTGATTATAGAGAATTTATCCAGTAATTTACTATGGACAAAATATGGCATCAAGGGTAGCTAGTAGAAATAAAAAGAATCAAGTTAGTAATTTTCAGAGAAATTAGGCAAGTCAGCCAGACATTGGAGAAACAAAATAAGTGAGGGGTTCAGGCAGAATCATGGAAAAGCTTTGCATTTACACAAAGAGGTTTAGCTGATTGCCAAGGGAACATATGATCACATACCCCTAAGGGTCTTCTTCAGAATGTACTGTCCATACCCACTGCTGGTTACCCTGGCAAAAGAGTTGCCATTATATGGCAAAAGTCCCACAAGAGAATGAAGTAATGTCACTGGTATTTCACATACCAGTGAAGTCACCATGATGGAAAAGTTTCAGCAGAGTTTCCAGACTAAGGAAGACTAGAATGAAAGGCCTGGTGATCTACCTCTGAAAATTAACCAATGAAAACTTTATGAATTACAACAGAACACTGTCTGAATCACTTGCTTTGGACATATCACTGGGGAAGACCAATCCCTGGAAGGGAATATCATGTTTGGTGAAGTATAAAGTCAATGAGGGCATGGGGGACCTTCATGAGGTGTACTGATATAATGGTCACAACAGTGAGCTCAAACATGGCAAGCAATTGTGAGAACGACACCTGACCAGGCAATGTTTTGTTTCTGTTGTACGTAAGGTTATCATGAATCAGAGTTATCTTCTTGGCAACTAACAACAGCAAGGTATAAAAAAGCTAATCTAAACCAGTTTGATCAAGTGAATTTCTGTCATTGTGTTCACAGTTTGGAGTTAGTGTAAATAATACCTTGTAAAGTTGTTTATCTGTGTTATAGTGGTGGCTACAGATCATTCTCCTAAGAAGAGGGGTACACAATCATAACTGATTGCATTTTTACAGCATCTATGTACTGATCAAACAACCTCTGCACATTTTTGAGACATTCATGGTAGCAAATGAAAGAGCTCAAGAAGCCATGAATTGCTCTGGGAGTTAGGAAATGTGGCTAGTACATCTTTGGCTAAAGACAGACATGTTATCTCACACTGGAATCTTGACTCAATATCTTTAGGATTTTCAGCTTCTCCATCTACAAAAGATCATCTCTTTCCCCAAGACTCTCATAGAATTATGAAAGGGATGTTACTCCATAATGCTTTGCATTTCCGGAACACAAGGACTCATGTTTTCCCCATCCAGGTGGACTTTAGAGCTCTCAAGTGATAAGCAAATTTAAAGGCAAATGAAGAAGTGAAAAACGTGCAACAAATGTATAGAATGGGGTTGATTGTTTTATAAAGGATAATACAAACACACCATTTACCTCATTAAAAAGCAGTTCTCGTCTTTGTTGCTTTCGGAGGTCCATTTTCTTCACAGCCACTTGCTTCCCTGTGTGTTTCTCTGTAGCGATGCACACAATACCAGTTGACCCTTCCCCTATTTTGATAAAGTTATCCAAGTATTCCCTGGGGTCTCCTGGGCTGACTACCAGCTGCAAGGCAGCCCGAAACTGTTCATGAGACACCCTGGAGGGCTGCTGGTCTGAGGAGGAGCTCCAGCTGGGTGGGGGGTAGGTACTAGATGAGATACTAAGAGAGCTCAGGTAAGAAGCTGTGGAGATGTACTGGGAACTGGTCTGCAGAGAGGGGTGGTGGTACAGAGTGGCTTTGTGGTACCCAGATGGGTACTGGTGGCTGCTTGGGGAGTAGCCCGCTTTGCTTTGACTTTGAGGTAGTTTGGCGGGGCCCCTGGGGTAGGTGTCAGACCCGGACAGTGGAGGGCTGAGGACCATCTGTGCTCGGTCGTAATCCACCTGCGAAGACAGACAGGCTGCATTTGAATGTGAAGCAGCCAGTTTGCTAGTCAGTCAGCCCACAGCTGGGCAGAGAGATATTGACTGTGGGAGAAGCTTACCTTGTTGAGTTCCAGGGCCTCCCCTGCCATCAGAGTTTCTCGGCCTTTCCAACCTCACCATCCAGCCTGTCCATGTGTTCTTCCCCTTTCCCTATTAAGTCTCCAAAACAGACTGAGACCTGAACTCGAATGTAAGTAGTGGAGGTTGTTGAGCACACTGATAGTTTAAATTTTATCACAGGGGAACCCAAAAAACCCACTGCCATAGAGTTGATTCTGACTCACAGTGATCCTATAGGACAGAGTATAACTGCCCCGCAGGGTTTCCAATGCTGTAAATCTGTATGGAAGCAGATTTCTACATCTTTCTCCTATGGAGTGACTGGTGGTTTCAAACTACTGAATGCTTTAACCACTGCACCACCAGAGCTCCTTCAACACAAGGGGAGGAGGACCTGAAACTGAAGAAAAAGCAATGATCCTCAAACACTATCTATTTGCATAAATCAATGACCTGATTACAAATGTTAGCTCTTCCAAGAAGGATCTCCATTTCTCGATAATTAAATGACTTTTTATTCTGTTACTGTGTGGTTTAAATAAAGAAAGTTAAACGGCTCACAACTTTTACCATATACGATTTTTTTTTTTTTTTTTTTTTACCATTTTCTATTACTATTTTGTCTTCAACTGCTGGAGATCATTTTATATATTCTTTGTCTATTCCCATAGATGGAACAGGAAATTAAGTGTCTTTCCATGAAAAATGAGTAGTTTACTCATTCAACAAATATGTAGTGCATTCACAGCAAACAGGGTGGGGGAAGTGGTAGTAGTTTAAATAGGGGCCTCAGGAAGTGTTTCTTTGATGAGTGACACTTGAGCGAAGACCTGGTAGAAGTGAGGGAGTAGGCTGGTGAGGATCTGCAGGAAGAGGCCTCCAAGAAGAGGAACAGCAGGTGCAAAGGCCCTAAGCAGGGTGTGTTTGCAAAGCTGAAGAAATCAATGTGGCTGGAGCAGCGGAGAGTGAGCAAGGGCAAAACTAGAAGGAGATGATGTCAGACAGGTAAAAGGGAACTGGATCATGCAATGACACTGATTTCATCTGATTCTCAGTTTAAATAGGAACCCATTGAGACCATCAGAAGGTGGCAGGACCCAATGGATTAACTAAAAACACAAGCTGTAAACCTAACTGCTATGCTAAAAGCCAAACCGCATACTAAGACATGGGATGCAGAAGTAACCAGCAGCCTCCTCCAGATCTGTGTTTCAAGATTTTTGCAGGTGTTTGTGGGCAACCTAATTTCCAGCTCTCCAGGTATGTGCCGCATGATGCTGAATGTCCGTGCATAACCTTTGTGAGATGACAGAGGTCCTGACTGGGACTTGAACCAGCAACCCAAAGGACAGCATATATGTGACATCCCATAATGAGTTATTCCAAGCATCCCAGAAGCCTTTGCAACTTATTTCAAGTATCCCAGCAACACTTGCAACTCCTACACATGCACCCAGTTTCCATAGGGCCACTCCTTTCTTAGAAACTACTACTCCTTCTAAAAAAATCCTCACCTATTTCAAAACCCTTAAAAACCCCAGCAAATCTTTGCTCAGGGAGACAAAGGCTAGCATTGCTTAGGTACCTCTTTGTCTCCGTTCATGAGCTGCTTTTCTCTTTCACTTAATAAGAGCTTTGTTTGTGTAGAGAATCTAAGCTTCTCCTGGTCATTCTTGGTCAGTAGAAGGGAAGAGTCTGATACGGCTGACCCCTGACGGGGAAGGGCTCACTGGGACACCATGAGAGCATTTTGAGCAGCAGAGTTGCATGGCCTAACTTCAACTTTAAAGGATTACTTTACCTGCTGTTTGGAGACTCCTACAAGAGGAGTCCTGGTGGTGCAATGGTTAAGCACTTAGCTGCTAACCTAACATTGTTGTTGTTGTTGTTGTTTGCCGTGGAGTCGACCCGACCTAACATTAGGCAGTTCCAATTTACCAGTGGCTCCGGGAGAAAAGACCTGGCACTCTGCTGTGAAGGTCATAGCCTAGGAAGCCCTATGGAGCAGTTCTACTTGGCCCTACAGGGTTGCCTGGAGTCACAATCGACTCAACAGCACACAACAACAATAGTCCAGCTGAGTGATGTCTGTGGCTTGATCAATGTTGGTAACAGCTGACATTGGGAAAAGTGGTTAGATTCAGCATGTACTTTGCAAGCAGAGACCACAGGATTGGCAGATGTGTTGTATGCAGATTGTAAGAAAAGGAAATGATGGCTCCACAGTTGAAAACTAGCATCAAACATGTGTCAAAATGTTGCCTAATGGCCCTGTGTGTGTATGTGTGTGTGTGTGGGCATGCACACAAAACCGTCCCTAGTTGAGAACCACTGCTTTTGAAAAAGGAAAGCAGTGTTGACAGAGATAGAAACTGTTAGTGATGAATGGACGGGGCTGGGACACCAAAAGTGTCCACTACCACAGCAAAGGGCCTCTACCACTCACGTGCACCATGGGGGCAGTTTTAGTTAATTTGTTGTATGCAAGCTGTATTTGCTGTTTAAGTCCTTTTTTCTTGCTGGGGAACTTAAGAGCCCATCCATGTTGAAGGACCTTAGGTTTTACCTAGTATTTTGGGGAGAAATTTCAGGAGTAAGAAGCTCTTTTTCATGCTTTTGAACTCACATGCTATAGGTTTGTATTACTATCCATCCACACAAGGTAACAGAAACCTGTAAGAGGGAAAACATGGCCCTCTGGTTCTATGTGGCATTTATGTCATTGTAAACACATGTAAAGTTCTCACCAAATAAGTACAAGTATAACTGAGAGTAACTAAAATTGGCAGGGATGTGTGTGAAAGGGAAATTTGGTCAGCTCCTCAAGGGGACCCTAACAAAGAACATTCTGATCTGACTTGAAGAGTGGGTTGAGAGAACTTAGCGGAGAAGAATGGGGAGGGCAGGCAGAGCAGGGGCTTTAGAAGTTGGTGAGGGGATTATTCTCATGAGACACTAGGTGTAGGTTCCAGCAATCACTCCCAAGAAGGGATTAGGAAGGAGTGCATCCCTACAATGATTGAGATCGGGGTGGGAATATACCATACAGATTTTGTCACTTTTGTGCAGAGCAGACAATGCTAATTGATCAGTGCACTCTTTTCTGCAAGACCGTAATAGCACACTCATGGTTACATATGGTTACCTAAAAGATCCTAAAATAATTATTTGTTGATTGGACCTCAAGCTCCTTATTAACCAGGCAGCCCAGGGAGTCTCTACCACTCTACTGTAGCATACATGGAGTGACATCTACTTGACTTCTATCTACCCCAAAGATCTAGATTTGCTCTCATATTGTAGTTAGTGGCCATATGGGCTATTTAAATTAAAATTAACTAAAGATAAAATAAAAAACTCATAGTTATACCAATATAACTCACCAGTTATACTAATATTTTAAAATACATGTGGCTAGTGACAACTGCATCAGTGTAAGTATAGAATATTTCCATCTCTGCAGAAAGCTCTATTGGACAACATTGTTGTAGGTAAATTGATTGCTTCTATGTAATACATTCATTCATTAGTTCATTCATATCATAGATTAATATTTGAACAGCTATTGTGTGCTAGGCACCACTTAAGGTGCTGAGAATTAGGGTCCAATAATAATAAAAATGGATGGTACATTGGCCATCCCAGAGTTTACAATACAGGACAGATAATAAACAAATAAATCAATAAATATGCAGTATAAAGTCCAGTTGGGATAAGTGATAGGAAGAAAACTAAAGCATGATGAGGGGCCTGCGAGTAACTAGGTGCCATTTTGGATGGGATGGTCAAGAAGGCCTCTTTGAGGGGGTGTCATTAGAGCAAAAAGCTGGCTAAAGGGAGAAAACATACCCCAAAACTATGTGGTGTGTAGGGCTGTGGTGGGCAGAGGGAATAGCGCAGGCAGAGATTCTAAGGCAGAGACAACAAGAGTATCTGGAGCAGAGTGGGAGGTAGGTAAAAAAATGTGGACAGAGAAGCAACCAAGAATCAGATCATGTAGACAATGGTACGGCTGTTGGCATTTGCTTGAGTGAGATGGGAGCCATTGCAGGTTGCTGATCAGGAAGGAGTGACATGATCTGACACTTTCAGGCTGCTGGAGAAGAGACCATTAGTGGTAAGACTGGAAACAGGAATGCCTGTTAGTTTCCTGCAGTCAGTGTGGGCTGAGAGTAGGGTGGTAGATGAGGTGAGAAATACAGATGAGGTGAGAAATGTAGGTGAGGTAAGAAATGGTAGGATCCAGAGTAGAGATTGAAGATAGAGATGACAGGATTTACTGATGAACTGAATGAAAAGTCTGAAAGAGAGGAATTAAAGATGACATCCAATCTTTTGTTCTGAGGAACAAGCCATTTAAAGCAATGAAGAATACAGGGGCAGGGGCAGGCTCGTGGAGTGTGACAACTATCTTCCAAGATGGCTCCCAGTGATCCCTGCCTTCCAACACATATCCTCCTGTAGTCCCCTTCCAAGTTGTACTAGGGCTGATTGTTGTGATGACTAGAATGTAGTAGAAACATAGGGAAGTGCCTTCTGGGACTAGGTCATAGAAGACATCGTAACCTTTTGGTCTCTCTCTTGGATGACTTGATCTGACTTCCTCCAGCTGTCATGCTGTGAGTATATCAAACAGTCCTATGGAGAGGTCCACGTGGCTAGAAACTGAAGCTTCCTACCAAGAGTGTTCTGTGACCAACCCTGTGAGCCATCTTGGAACTAGATGTACCAGCTTCAGTCAAATCTTCAGATGACTGTAGCTCTGACATCTTGATTGTAACGTCATGAGAAAGCCCAGGCCAGAATCACTCAACCACGCCAGTCCTGGAGACCTGATCCATGGAAACTGTGAAAAAATAGGTGTGTATTTTTGCAAGTGATTGAGTTTTGGTATAATT